GCACATCAAATTATATATAAAAAACATAAGAGTACAAGGTTATTTGGAAGGGAGAACCAGTGGAGAAGAGTTTTACATTTTGCAATAGGTGAATAAAATTGTGAGAATATGATTCTGCCGTAACAAAAGTCATAAATTAATTTCCACTTTGCTCAACAAGGCTGAATGATGTGCACTATATCTTGCTCCCATGAAAACTATTAGCATTTAAAGTTATAAACTTTAGCTACTAGAAAACTATCTTATATTGTACAAATTATTTTTCCAGCTCTACTAGACAAGGTGTCATTATAGTACACTATAAGTCTAATCAGATCCTTAAAATATTTTGGCAGTCTTATTTTATTTATATTTATCAACAAAATTGACAAAATTTCACTTAAATTTTAGTGTAGGCAACCAAAAGGCCATTGCTTGTTTTGATTGCTTCTTCGGAAATGCCTTGGTAAAATAAAGTGACTATTTTGAATACTCAATAATTACTTTGAGCCTTTCCTTATTTATATTACAGGTCATTTATTTTTTTCTCTTTGATAGGTACCATAAGTTCAGAAGGACAAACAGAGTGATAATCCAACTGAAGGCCTACACGACCAATTTTGAGGTGACAATAGTTATTTGTAGATTTTCAACTATGTTCCATGCTGCTAGACTGAGTACAACATGTTTGCCCTAAAAATCTTTTCCAAGCCTACAATATGGTCTCTAGTTTTAAATGACGACAAAGGCAGACTGGTAATCAGAAAGCAGGGAATTCAGTTTTGAAAAATCCTTAAAATTCCTTTGAAGTCTGATATAACACTATTTCTTTAAGTATGCTAATGACACATCCCCAAGGATTTGTCTTTAGATTCCTCTATTTACTTTTACTTTCAAATTTGATTTGAATTGTATTTACATAAATACATTTTTCTATATACATTTAGCTTCCCAGACCATAAGCTTACTATGAGCAAGCTGCTGAGATTTGTATGAAAGTAGTATGGCTTGAGCTAATGCAAAAAGACTTCAAAGTTTTGAGTGAATTTGCATAGAGACATAAATTATCCAGGATATTCAAAGCTATAAATTAGCTGCAGGACATATATAGCTCTCTCGAGGCTCACAGAAACACAACAATTCTCTTTATTTCACATTTATCTATTATCACGTTTTCTCTAAGAATTTTCATGGGCTCTCCTTTTCTTGCTCTTACTCCGTTTATTTCTATGTTCAGGGTGTGCTTACTGATAGAGGTTGAATTTACAAAATTAAAAGTATTAGACTGCCTGAATGACTATTAACCTCTGTTATTTCCTCTATTCTGCCACACACACACACACACACACAGGTTAAAATACACAAAGTATAGGCAATGCCTAAATTAAAGAAAAAATTAAATTAAAATTTGTTGAGTTAAATTGAACAGTCTTAAATATCTTATTTGTCTACTTGACTATATTATATATATGCAATATTGTATAATATACATATAATACATATTATATAGTATATAAATACAGATATGTGTATATATATATATATATATATATATATATATGCATATAAATCACAATATATATATGATGGCAAAATCTACAAATATTGTTTGGACCAGAGGTCAACATATTCTGATCAACTGAACAAGGAAACAATTTATTAGAAATATATTTCCTTGAAAGTTTCAAAAGAAAAAGAATTTAGAAAAAAATGTCAGTTTCTGCATTTTTCAAAAACACACAAAATCTGAATTCCTTTTCCTAAGTTAACTCAAGACCCTAGAAAAATGCCATAATGTCCCCTAAAGTGATAAAGAGTGAGAATCTGGCAATGAATAACCATTACAAAGTGAATTTCTTAAATATTTGAAATAATTGTCCTCCATTGTTTTAAATGGTCATCCTCCTGTTTTAGCCCCCACCCCCACCCTCCACCCCTGTGGAACTCTCTTCCATTTAAAATACAAGATATTGTTGCCAAACTAGCACATCTTAATCACTAAAATAAAATCAGCTCCCTCTTTTCAGTACAAAAAAAAGTAGTTCAGTTTATCTAAATATGCAGTAGTTCTTCATAAAATGCAGTTTTAAATACATTGTGCAAATATAAAAGCATAAAGCAATAATTTCATGACTAAATGCTATTCTGCCTTTTCATCTTTCCAACATATTTTCATACATATATAAGTGCACACTTGCTTGATGCAAATGAAAATTATATTTTTTCTCATAAACATTGTAACTGATAAATTGATACATTTGAATTTTTAATGATATGAATAAACATAGTTGGATAATGCTGCTTTAAGTTTATATAAAAATATGTTTTGGAAATCAAAAGGTAATATGAACAATCAAAGTGAGTACACATTTGTTTGGTGCAGGACAGGCTTTACTATGATGTAATCACACATTTTACAAAAGTGTGATATTTAGTGCCTGGGGAAAACAAAAAAAAGGACTTTTGTCCTGTCTGTGATATTTATGAGGATCACTTTACAATCCAGAGTTAAATGAAAAGAGAAGTTATAGGAAGTTGAACATGTTGAATCAAACAGAATTGTCTGAAAAGTCCCAAAGAACATTAATAACAATTAGAAAAAGCAAAGAAGGATTTTAGGTCTCCAACCCAGAAATAAGAAATACTTCTCTGATAAGCTGTTTAGCAATAAAAACATGGAAAAAAATCTCTCAAAACCAAACCTGCTCTTAACATGAAATGAAAATATAATTTATCAAAACTGTCCTTATGATGTTGTGTAGAATATGAACAAAAGAACTCCATTATTTAATTCCAGATAACCTCACAAGAATTTTAGGCTAAGAATTCAGTTCTTATTTAAAATACATGTCTTAGAAAATGTGAAAGTCTACTAAAAATTGAAAGTCTTGTTATTTATTTAAATGTTTCAACTCAAACAGCTCTCTACAATCAAAAACTTATACCAAAAAGGAATTATTCAGGAGCCCCAAACCAATTTTTTTTTTCACATGAAATTATTACATCAGAACAACAACAACAACAACAACAACAACAAAAAACCAAGTTTCAAATAGAGAAAACATTAAGAAAAAGACAAATGAAGAATAAACTAGTTAAGGAAAGCCCGGAAACCAAAACACCCAGCCAGTTGTCACAATGAATTTAAACAGCCAATCCCCATCAGTGTTTTCAACAGAAGTAAAATCAGGCGCATCACGAAATGTCACCATACCTGTAGGCACTTTAAATGACTACGGCACACACGATGTAAAATTTCCAGTCTCAGAAATAAAGCACACTTCATTTAACTGCTGCAAAACCCTGCTGCAGAGAAGCCTAGTATACATTTTTTTTTCCGGCAACTGATCCAGCTTTCCACCAGCTCTGTGACCTTTGAACTCCCTTCTGCCCCCCTCCTTTCACTTCTGCAGTCAAAGCCTGCGAGCTGGTCTCATTTGCATAAGGTTCAGGCAGTCCTCCAGCAGCTGAAACGGAATGCTGGGTAAGGGATTGTGGAACTGCAGTTCTGCCAAGATACCTGAATCACGGGAGAACAGGGATATGCTATGGGGAGTGGGCACGGTTTATACTGGGCTTTCGGCATCTCATTCCCCCACCTCTATTAATGGATAAACAAATTTAGCATTTGATTTGGAGTCCTGCTCTCACTACTTTCCCTCTCCCCACCATAAGAAGCTGTCTGCAGCTACTGTGGTAACCAAGGAAACCCAAATAGTCAAATACTTCATTTAAATATGTGTAGAAGGCCAATTTAAAATTTTCATTAACTTCTTTTCTTTTGGAGACATAGCTTTTAAAAAAAATTAAATATGTATTATGAATACAATTAGACCCATGGATATTTCTTTTTTGTTGTGGTTTCAACAGCATCTAACAGCAACAAATTTATATTAGGCACCATACAAATGCATAAAGTCACTACAGTAATTCCACAAAATGCTAAATATGCTTAAGTACCTTAGAGACCATCATCCTAAATGGTGTTCAAAAATTAATTGTAAAGAATTTAGTTCCCAAGATGTCTTTAAAAGAATACACCAGTAAAAAGGTAAATCAAAGTTTATGTATTTAAATCTAAAAATTCACAAAGCAGTAATGCTTCTCCGTCTTTGGCAAAGATTTTCAGTGTTGTGCTATTATTTGCTAGAACTATTTCTTCCCTTGTTTTCCTACACACAGTAATTTCTCTATCTGAAACATAAACTTCTCTATTGCTTATAACCTATGAAGTGGTTATTTTCTAAATAAAGGTCATAGGTACATATTTTGATAAATATACCTGAAAGCATATATTCTCCATTACTAAATGGTGAACCAATAGAAATATGCATCATCACATAATTAATCCATTTCTGTTTATAAAATTAAGCTAATTTGTTTTCTTCCATTTGTGAATGAATAATGTCTATGAAATAAAAGGTTTTATGCACTAATCTTTTCCAATTGTCAAAGAAACATAACTCAGAAAATAAAAGACACAAATTAATAGACAACATTATTAAAGTGTAAAATTTTAATGATTTCACAATTTCCTTGTTTAAAAAATTTTTTTAATTAAATATTTTAAACCTTTTCCCAGTATACTCAAAAACACCAATAAATTCTGAATGATTTATCCTCTAATTTATATGACATAAACTATTACAATGAGGAATTTTTAATACTGGAAAAATTAATTTGAAGCTTTTTACTTGAGCTATTTATTAATAGTATTCTGCTTTATATAATCTCTGCATACATAGAAGATTAAAAATTATTGGATGAATTTTTCCTTAGCCATGAATTTTTAAATAGAATAAATAACTTTTCAGTTTAATATAATGCTATTGACATTATTCTGTTTTATCTAATTCCATCAAAAATTTAAGCATGTTGGGTCAATTCAAGTGCATCCTTCATAATATATATTACAAATATCTTGCAAAGTTTTTGTTTAAGGCAAAACACACATCAGCTTATCCTAATTTAAATTCAATCTAATATAAGGAAGTGTTGGAGAAATTGATGAAATCACTGACCTGTTCAAATAGCTGTAGTCTTAGTCCTTGCACTCTTTATTCATTAGAATCCAAAATAAATTGATTATCATTTTATAATATGTGCCAGTATCACGGAAGGCACTGTCCTTCCTGGTTCAGCGGAATCTTCTTAAATTTCCCAGCCCTGTGTTTTATTGCTGGTACCATATGCTTTATTGTTCAGCGACAAGAGCTTCACTCTGCACAAAGACTCATTACCTACTGCTTGCTGCACAGCATCAGCCTCGCTGAGGCTGCCTATATGTGATCACATGGAGTTTTGTCTGAGAAAGCCAGGCGTGCCACTGACTCCGCTGTGTCTATGGATATTTTTATCAGCTGAGGTCTACTAGGAGGAAGAAATAACAGATTAAGAAGCTGCTCTAAGTCAATAATGTAGCACAACTTATGGAAATCCCTGCAGAAGTTTTATTATTATTATTATTGTAAAACATGTTTAAGCAAGCATTCAAAAAAGTTAACTAGATTTTATTTTAATAGAGACTGAATAATATTTTAAAGAAGGGGAACTTGTAAAAATCTATTTCCTACTTATGCATTCTGAAAGTACTGTTGTACAAATGTTATTGAAGAGCCTAGCTCTAATGGATGATTTGACAAGGCATTTTAACCTTTTGATTGCTGGCATTTCTTTTTCTTGGAGGTTTTTTTTTTAATCCTATAAAAGAATAAGAGCTGATTCCCTCAATATCTCCTCAATAAAAATTTCAATCATTGAAACACACTATATATGAATAAAAATGGATATACTAATTCCTTTTGATAAGGTAGATGAGAGAGTGAGTGCTTTTTATTGATGTATATAAATGAGGTAGATGATTAATTTATCTTCTCAAAACATGACACATTCAAACAGCTGACTTAAAAGAACAATGAAAATTTCAAGTTAAAGATCTAAAGGACATATGGTTCATATTAATTCTTAAAATTGCAGTAACTTATTTTAGACAGCTTACTTCAATAAAGCATCTGGTTTATCTTATCTGATTTCAGTGCTAACAAGTAGTTTCAGAGATGACTTCTCAACATTTACAGGAATTTTCTGTTACATAGATATTGTATTAATAAATTTACAATGTGTGTTTCTGTGTATTGTCATATTATCTGTCTAAAAATATTTTTAAATTACCTAAATAATTTTCTTAAAAATTGAAAATGGATTGTGAATTTCCAAATTTAAAAAAAAATTTAGTTATTAAAATGCAATGAAAAACATCTATTTCTTATTACTCTAATAATCTGCCTAAACTGAATAGGTATTTGAAAGGTTGTTACATGTAAGTATCAGTGAAAATTTTGCATGTCATACATGCAAAGTGCAATAAAGAGCTCAGAAGGAACAGTCAGAAGCTCCATAAATAATGATCAGAAAGTAAATTTTCTGTATAGTAAGATATACAGTGCATTTTAATGGTGCCTAAATAATTCAGTAATTAATCTTTAAACACTGAATATACATATATATACATACACATATATGTATATATATGTGTATATATATATTTATAAACATATATGTTTATAAATATATATATACACATACTTAAGCCTTTGGTCAATAAGAAATTATTTTCTGAAAAACATTATAATATAAACTTTTTATAAATTAAAAATTTAAAAGTAATTTTAGACTAGAATAGGCAAATGTGGTTAAATAGCTCAGTTTTGAAACACAATTATTTAATAGTTTTCTTTATAATATTATTTGAGGTGTTAACATTGACCCAGAATGTCTCAGAAGTCAAACAATGGGTTTTTTTTTAACATTGAAAGAATTATTCAGATATGTTTTAAATGCCACCCCTTTAATGCATTTGTTCCAAAATGCTTATATTTATTTTCCCCTCTGCACACAAGAGCTATGCTGAAGCTACAAAATCTTGGGGCATTAAAAGCAAAAAGAAAACAGTGTTTCTAGCTTACAGCATACCTCTGGGTTCTTAAAGATGTGTACATTCTAGTTAATATCCTTGATGATATCATCATGCTAATGTACAAGGAAATAAACAAAAGGCAGCCATTTTTTTTCTTACTGCACTACTTCAGAACAGTAAAATAAAATGGTTCCAAATGGAAGGAAAGAATCAGGAGAAAACCAAGTGATTTCTGATTATTGAGTAATGTGCCTTGGGGAGACAAAGGGTGTAAAATTGGAAAGAAATACACATGTGCAAATTTCATGTACATATATGTGAAAAACACAATTTAACAATAACTAACTATACGTAAATATAATGACCATAAAATTAAAAGAAATTACCAGTTGAATAGTGAATCTCCAATGGAAAGACTGTACCTATATTAAAGTATTAAATGTAAGAGTCTGTTAAATTCATTAATGTGGAAAAATATATTTAGAGGCAGACACCAGAACTAGAAGGATCTAGGAAAAGGCAGAATGAATCATGAAATAGTAATAATTTTCCCAGGTCTACTATTGTCTTAAATGACCTTGGTGAGTTATTGCAGCATCTAATGGCTTAGATTTCATGTCTGAAAACCAAGAACAGGAAATCCTTTGAAAAGTATTTCATGGAAATATATAGCAATATTTTTAAACCTCAATTATCTGAACTAGCTAAAACAAGCACTGTCAGTTAATAGTAATAAAATGAAAAGATATAAAGTTTTAATGAATATTTAAAATAATTTCTAAATGAGTTAATACCACAGAAACATAGTAGATAGAACTTTTGGAAAGAAGATACGATTATTTTTTTCTAATATAGTCATAAAAAAAGAGAAATACATTTAGTAAAAATTGTGAAATTTCATAAAATTGCCTCAGGATTAAACAACAAAACATACCCATCTATCCAATCAAAATTCTGGATTCTCTCAGCAATGCAGCAAGAGAATTGCAGCAGAGATTCCCACATTATACACTGAACAACCAGGCTTCTGATTTATATAACAATTTCATCAGCCAAGTGTTCTTTAAATTTGAAATTAACAAAGAAACAGATCACAGTTTAAGGAAGCAAATTACATCCAAGATTGAAGGATGTTTTAATTCACTTTACCATATTAAAAGTTGTGAAAATGTGAATTGGATAGAATCCTTAAACTCTTGATATCGACTCTTTTGTGGCACTGGGGATTGAATCCAGGGCCTTGGGCATGCTAGGCAGGTATTCTACCACTGAATTACCTCCCCAGGCTTGATGCTTATTAGCTTGTTTTTTCTCTACAGGGAAATTGGCATCATAGAATCATTCCCCTTTCCTACAAAACAGCCAAAACTTACCAGAAATAAACTAAAATATTTGCTATCCTGTTCCTGCAGAAACACAGACATGGAAATTATACTAAATGAATGATCTCTTAAACATTCTACTGCATTAAAGAATATTTATTGACACTATTGCCTATGTTTCCTGGAGCCATATAAATTGATATATCCACCAGTACCTCCTGTTGGATTCAACATAGAACAGGCTGCATTTCATCCTCCTTCACTGCAAAATCAGAGAAGTCAGTAAGCTGACCCAATCAGCCTCAAAATCCAAGACCAATTTGATTCAACAAACATTTATTGAGAAGTTTCCATGTACCAAACAGTTGCTAGGGATATGAAAATGAAATATGAACTGTTCCCAAGAAGATTACAGTCTCTACAATGAGAAGAAAAGAAATGCTTAGCATGTTATCAGAAGGTGGTTATGTAGAGACTTTTTTCAAGTGTGAATATTTTAATAACTGAATGTGCATTTTATGGAAAATCAATACTTTCTACTTTCTATAGTCACCTAAAGTCAGAAAAATCATTGCTATAATCAAATATCATTTATCAAATGTCCAATTATTAATTTTCCTTTGAATCTTATCATCTAAGAGATAATATTTCTCTCATAATAAAGCATATATTTGTAGCTATTATATTTTGCTATTCTTGTATCACTCTTCCATCAAAAGCTAGAGTCCAATATCTTTTCCCTTTATTTGTAGTTGGCCTTCATGATTTGCTTAATCATCAGAGATTGCTCAAGTGATGTTCTGGATATTCCAAGGATAGTTTCTAAAAAAAAAAAAACTGAGGCTTTCACTTTGAACCTCTTGAAACCCTCTCTCCAGGATCCCTGAGCTACTGTGTAAATGGACTGGTTTCCCTGAGAAGTCACCTCTGCTCTCTGGGAGAAAAGAGAATTCCTAGCTCTAAACAGATACTTTGAGAAATACACAAAAACAAGGACAAGAGCTTTTCCAACTATCATGAGAAGAACTCTGAGTTGCGTGACATGAGATTGAGCCACATGCTGGGATATAGAACTAGCAAAAAAAAAAAAAAAGTCTGCTTTTAGAGTATCCTGAAGTTTAAGATGAGGAGATTTTTACTACATACATAAGATGTGTGAGGTCCCACAGGATAAGATATGAGGTATGGTCAATATAATGCCTCAAGACAATGTCGGCAGTGGAGGAGAAGGCTAGCCAGGTAGAGCAATGGAGAAGCATCAGGTGTATGATAAAAAGATGGGTAGTACTGATGAAGGCCTGAACTAGAGATGATGACTAAGGAAAGAGTAGAAAGGAAACCAGAATAAAGAGAGAGAGGATATTTAAAAATCAGTTCAATAAACTGGCCTTTGATCTCACTTACAGCCTTGAAAAGTCAATGATTTCAATGATTCCGCTACCCGTTAGATCTAAAGTAGAGACAACTAAACTAGTTTGGTTAGATTGAATAATGTCACAGGCATTTTGAGTTTTACTAGTCTCAGTTTCTCAACTTTCAAATATTGTGGAAAAATAGCTATCATCAAATACTAATGTGATTGGGAAGCTGGTCACTTTAAAAGAAGACCTTTTTTAAATAAGGAACATGGAGGAAACTATTCACATTTTCTTCTAAGCTAGGCGGTTAGTGTAGAGAAAGGAAATATATATGCAAAGATAAAGAAAAACAACAGGTAATTCTGGGTAGTGCAAACTAAGACTTGAAACACATACACAGACACTCATGAACACACACACATGCACACCACCATTACCTGTCAAAGTAAACAAGACTACTAGAGGTTTATTCTTTTGATTTTTCATTATATTTAAATATAAGACTACCAAAGCAGTCGATGTTAATTTTAGCACCCAGTGAACAGCCACTCAGAACGATGCAGGTTAAATAGTAGGAACAGCTCTATAATTACCACCACAGCATGTACAATATGTACATAAATCATTTGAATGTGGCTGTAAAGAAGTCTCTATGCAAAGTAACCTGGAGGAAAAGATATCCTGATTTCTCCCACCCCACTCTTCAATCTCTGTCAGTACAAAAGCATTAGAAAACAACATCTATCAGGAGAGAAAAGCACAAATAAAGCATACCTCTCAGAGAACACAAGGATATATTTATTTCTTTGTGACCATCAAAGATAATTATAATGATTTCTTCCTATGCAGAGTTAGAAATTTCACTTGGGACAAAATAAATGATAGTGCAAAATGGCATAAACTAAAATCAAACAGAGTTTAGCACATAAAATAAAAGAATAATTTAAGAGGACCAATGGCTTTTCCATGACAATATTAATGTTGCACCATAACTAAAAGGGTTACAAAACTGCTTTAGGGTCAAGACATAAGGAAAAACAAGTTGTTTATATTTTACTTTGCCAATAAATATTCACAAATTCTTGGCTAACAGAATAAATACAATTTGATTTGTATAATAGACGCATACAAAGAGCTTTCACATTATTTATATGAATTCATTAATTCGTTCACTTTGCATTTACTGAGTACTAATGCTTAGAACTGAGTTTGGTGTTCTAACATGTTAG